TGAAAGCTTTTAATTGCAATGTGTTTTGAAACCATATATTCAAATAGGGACAGCACACTATGTTGGCTCCTTCACAAACAGTCTTAGAGTCACATGCTGCTACAGAAAATGTTTTAAACTTTTTTATTCTTGACTCATCAGAGTCATTTTTATCTGGTTACTATGTTATGCATGCAAAAGAACTGCAGTGATAGTAAAATCTGCGACATGCAGGCAGGACTGTGGGTACTGTATTAAAAAAAAAGCAGTCACTTACTTGAGCAGTTGAAGAGCTCCTAATACATTATTTATGAGAAATCAATATTTTTTGTAATAAATACATACACATGTCTATCTATCCCTTCAAGAAAACAAAGATGTCTCTATCCCACTGTTGGTGACAAGCAGAAAGCAGGACCATAGAGACATTAGTTCACATTGACTACTTACCAACAGTTCCTCTGTCAATGTCTGGGGAGCCAGCACAGACAGGATGGGTTTTGCAGGAAGGTTGGCTCTTGAAAAAGAGAAGATAATTTTTCACTTGTGGCAAAGACCTGGTTCCTGAGCAAACAGGTCTCCATCACACAACCCTGAATGCTATTTCCATTCTGATGGGGTTTATTTCAGTGTGAGACAGATATGTCTGGTGAGAAATGCCTTAGTGTGAGACCTCCTTGAATGCCATCAGAACAAGAATGTTGGTGTGGAGGAGCCCAGAAGAGGACTGCAGTGATTTAAGCACCCATGGGGGAGTCCCTAGAGTCGGGGTGGGGGGACAGGACAGTGCCTGGTCAGACTGAGCAGGCAGCTTCTGGGTGCAAAGGGATCCCTGCAGGTAGAGAGCTTCTCCTGTATGAGGGGCATTTGGAGGTGGATGAACAAGGAAGGAGGATTTGCTCTTTACTGTGTGCTAAATATATTACTGTTTTGTCTTTCCCTGAATAAAGGGAAATATTTGTTTGTACATTTTCTCATTCCTCATGGGTGGGAAAATCAGACCTAATGAGGGTATGGATTTTCTGGCGCTTCTTGGGTGGGAATTCCAACTTGGTTTAATCATTTGCCTCAAGAGATGTGAAATACGTTGATGCTACTGGTTTCTGCTCGTATTAACCACCTGGCTGAGGATTATATGTACACATTATATTAAGGTAATAAGAATTTTTCAGTTATTCTCACTTCTGGGGCATCCAGGCATGCATACACACATATACACTCACAAGTAGTTATATGGTTATATGGAAAATGGGAGGTTTGGAAATGAATCTCCACTCCTTTTACTCCAAGTGACACACTCTCTCCCCCGCACAATATTATACATAAAATGAACCATGGAGAGCTATTTTCCCAAGCAGACAGAAATGCTGTATTTTGAGGTGGGGAATTGCATTTCAAAGCCAGAAATATGCATGAAAGGTATTTGTACATTGCCATCTGGACAAGTTTTTAATTAACATGGAAAATAAAAAAATTAATAGAGGGACTAATTTCTTCATATTCAAAGGCATAATCATGCAGGGGAAAAAATACCCATGGTTACACTTCCAAAGGATTAATAAAGAGCATCTAACATGGATTTATAAAAATGAAATCAGACTAAGAAAAGAATATTTAAAACATTTTTTTTAGCTTTAATAATTGATTTATCAAGTTAGAAGAATTGTTTTCTTTAAGAAAAGATAGCAGGAAAGGATAATGGCAGTAGGTGAAGAAAAAATTGTGTATGTTCTGAATGAGGGATTCTTTCCTTCTAATCAAATAATAGATAACTTTGGAGGAGGAAGAAAGGAGGGGTATCGCTCTGTTTTGGTGCACACAATATAGGAGTTTAGCTATCTATCCATTACAATGTGATCACCCTTTTTGCTACCTAAGCATCAGAAGTTAATAAAACATGGTTACGCTGGAGACTGAGTTTTCTGCCTGTGTGCTGAAGTTTTGAAATATAGGTGTGTGAGGACTATTTAAATTGCATTGCTTTGCAGTCTTTGAGAAATATTGTCGCTTTTCAACTACTGATCTGCTTCTTCATCTGATTTTCTTGGGGTATTTTTAAACCAGTAGCGTTTACATCCCTATTTTTGGATGATAGGAGAAATCAAAGGTTACTTGTGACCATGAAAGATTTTATTCAGTTTGTCTCAGAACAGATATGTCCTTCTATATCCGTATATACCCACATATCCTTCTTGTCTGCTGAAACTTATTTCATGAGTTCCAATCTGAGAGGTTGGTTTTACATTCTGTGGTTTTGCGCATTGCTACAAATCTGTCTTGCCTTTTTCCTTCCTCATCATTTTCTGTAACAATTTTCTTAATGCTTAAATGATGTTCATATCTTGGAATAACAAGACAACTCACAGTTGAACACAAATGATACACTTTTTTATGTTGAAGGAGAAACAAGCAACCATTAACTCTGCAAGTGTGATACCAAAGGGGAGGGAACACATGTCTCCCATTGGGAGCAGGAGCCAACTGATTCAATGTGAGTAAATGAATGAGGTAACATCTGGACTTAAAGTGATCACTATCCAAATTGGCCAGAAGTTGGGACAGGGGGAGAAAAGACTATGGCTCTGATATTTTGGTTGCTGTAAAGTTACTTCTTTACTCTGCACTAACACCATTCCTTAAATAACTTAATAAGTACAACATCTATGGCAAAGTCTAAATTTAGGATACATACTTCGAACATCAAGACAATGAGTGTTCAAGAGAAAATCTTATTTTATTCCTGACATTAGTCAAGTTTGAAAATGAAATTGTGTCTACTTAGCATGTTAAACCCTATAAAATGTAGTTTATGGATTAGTGCAAGACGTTCCTGTGTCCTCCATATGTTCCTCCCTCCTTGAGTATGTTTATTCTGTGCAGACAGCTGAGACTGTCTTCTTTTTCCTGCTGCAAATTTCTGACTGTATTTTAAAGTCTGGATTTTTCCCTGCCTTGCTCTACCACTCAACATCAAAAATGATCTCTTTCATTGCAATTATTCAAGTGGATTCAATGGAGTCAGGTTTCCCATTCATCTGACTAAATGTGGAGCTGTGCGACCGAGACTTCTCTATTTGAACCAGCTGTGTTGACTAGGGTTGTAATTGTGAAGATCAACTCAACACAGTCAACAGGGTTAACAAGATTCATCTGACCAAATGTAGGCACTAACTTTAGAATTAGGTGAATAGTGCATTAAACTCAGTTGGCTGTGATGGTTGCTCATGTTGCTCTGTCACACACTGGCATTCTCTCTATAAAGATATATGTTTCAGTTAATATCACAATAAATGGGCAGTTGTAATTGGTTTTCAAGGGGATTATGGTAAAAATCCCATTTAAAAAATACTACCTGCCTCCTTGTCAGTAAGGCTCCAGAAACCCCATGCCTGATCTAGAGTGAGGAGGTTTCAGTTTCTCTCATATCTTATCTTCTTTTCCTCATGGCTCATTGGTTTTCTCTGTTACTCTCCCCTCTGCTTCTTCCATGCTTGCCTCGTATGTTGAAAATGACCCCTCATATGTTGAATATGATTTTACAACAAAGAAAAAGGACTGTTTTCACCTCTCTGAGCCACCACTGCCTGACAGATGTTTTTGCTGAACTTATATGTGTTTTGATCCAATATCTGAAGCATTGCTTTGAGTAAGGGACCCAGTCTTCTTGTGGGACTGCACCTGGAATACTGCATACAGTTCTGGAGTGCCCAAAATAAGAAGGACATGGAACCCCCAAAATAAGAAGGACATGGAACTGTTGGAGCAAGTCCAGAGGAGCCCACAAAGTTGATAAGAGGACTGAGTATCTCCCATAAGGAGACAGGCTGAGAAAGTTGGGTCTGTTCAGCCTGGACAAGAGAAGGTTGTGCGGACACCTCACAGCAGCTGTCCAGTATCTGCAGGGGCCTACAGAGAAGGAGGAGAAGGACTCTTCCTCAGGAACTGTAGGGATGGGACAAGGGGGAATGGGCACAAATTGAAAGAGGGGAAATTTAGGTTAGATATTAGGAAGAAATTCCTTATGGTGAGGGTGGTTAGACTCTGGAACAGGTTGCCCAGGGAGGTTGTGAATGCCCCAACGCTGGGAGTGTTCAAGGCCAGGTGGATAAGGCCTTGAGCAACCTGGTCTAGTGGGAGGCCCATGGTAGGGAGGGTTGGGACTAGGTGATCTTTAAGATCCATTCCAAACCCTTAACATTCTGTGAATCATTTTATGAATCTATGATTCAGTGGTGAAATGGGTGACAGTTCTCTAGAATCTAGAATTATGAATAAGAAATAGCAGTTTCACAACTTTGCAGTGAGTATATTTTATTGACCAAGAACTTGTGTCTTACTCACTGCCTGTTGAGACTGTAAATGCCTCAGGGCAAGTGTAGGGTTTGTGTTCTGCATCCACCTCATCATCCACATCCCACTGTAAAACACGGGTAGATGGGTGGGTGAAAGAGGGAAATTACTTAACTACTTTGCTTTCTAGGTTTATATTTATTCATCATTCTTATTTAATCCTTATTCTGCAGAGCATAGAAGCAGCTAGTAAGGATGTGATCAATACTCTCAGAAATTCACATGTAACTATAAATTTGCATTATTTTCTATTACAACAAAAAAGAGTGAATGGATTTTGTATGCAGATGTAAAGATGTAATTTTGGAGATGCAAGCAATAAACAATGGAGATTGCCAATTAGACAAGGTGTTAAAACATATGTATAGCTGCCAGCATATATATAGTCTCACTCTACTTATGTGTTTAAAGTGCCTCTTGGATATGAGCCTAGAAATTACATTTCAAAATAAATGTATTCTCTTATACTAAATTGCATTTCTGTTTAACAATATTTTTTTCTGCTTGCAACTTTAGCTTTTGATTTTTTTTCCCCATAACCAAAATTAAAAATTACCATTTTGAATTATGAATATATATTGATGGGCCAGCACCACATAAAACTTACTTAATTCCCAACTTCAGCTGCAGTGGAACAGCAGTTTGATTTAACTTTTGTCTCCAGGGTCCATTCTAACACCAGTTACCAGAGAAAATAGCCTTACTTTCAGATGTTGAATTTAACTTCGCAAATAATGCTTCATAACTAGAAAGCAGAGGTAGGCAAGTTGTTACATCGTTCTATTCTGCCAGTCTACTCTGTGTAATGTCTTTCCATTCTTCTTTTGAGAATAAATTAATTTGCTATTGTGGAAAAATGTGTTTAAGTAAAGCTGATCTTGAGGCCATGAGGTTATCAGAATATTGTTTGAAAAAACTACAATGTAAAATTAAGCCACAGTGCTTGAATTCTTCATTTTGGACCATGCTTCTTTAGAAGCATGAGATGTCAAGAATTTGGTGGGGTTTCAGAAAATAACTCTGTAGAAACTTACAGGAATATTCATCATATATTTAGGTAGGTGGTAGACTATGATTCTTTCAAGCCTCTTAGACACTTTAGAAGTTATTTTAAATAGATTTTATGATGTTTAATAATAAATAGGGTTTTTTTTATGAAGGGACCCCTGTGATTGATGTTGTTAAAGTGAATATATTTTATAAAGAAGGGAAATTGTAACCATTCTCCAGCTAGAGTTCCACTCAAGAACTCTAACCAGGTTTTTACCCTTCACAGAGAGGCATGCTGAAAATAAAATGGATCAATACTGTGCAGAGCAGAAGAAGAAGAACAGCCGTACAGAGATACAGAGTTAAAATAACTTTACAATGATGTTCAAATATCTTTGAAGATGATGTTACAGGAAAGGACAGAATGAATCATTCAGGTATGTAAATACAGACTTCTAGCATTGGTTTAGGTACTAAATAGGAGATATGACAGCAAAACCCCAAGTGTCTAGAGCAACAGCCAGGTGTAACACCCTAAAGCATCTAAAATGGCACTAGACATCCATGTCTGGCAACTGAATCCCACCCAGAGAGCCTGCCTTGATTTGATAAATAATTCCAGTGTCAGTTTAGAAAACAGATTTAAGTAGCCAGAAGATTACCTTCCAATGAGAGATCTTTTGTTTAAGGTAAAAGCAAGTTCTTGCAATCGTGTCAAAATGATTATCATTGTCTGAAGAGCTGGAGGAAATTTGGAGGCTGTAAAACCAAAAGACGAATTTAACCAGTGATGCAAGACATGCCTGGGGCCTTGATAGCATCCCCTGCCATTGTGACTGAGTGCCTGAACATGCTCATGCTCTCCTTGAAGAGCAGAAGTCTCTTTTTCCTTCAAGATTTCTAAATTATTACTTTATAAGATAGGGAGAAGTCAAAACTTGTGCTCAGAAATTGTTGCGCAACTTGATGGGCTGATGCAGTGAAAGACCAAGGCATGCCTAAGAGTGGAATTAGTCTAGCTGAAGGTTTGAACAGCTATGAAAAAGATCTGTTGCTGTTGTTTTGTTTGGATGAAACATTTTTTCTTATGCTTTTAAATTCTTGTCAACAGCATTTAGAGCACTCACTGGACATACTACAGCATGGAATTTTAAAATGGGAATAAGTAATCACTGTCTTATTTTTTACCCATAGTAGGGCACGACCCTCTAGCACAACATGGGTTGTTGAGGTCAGGCAGGAGCCAGATGTGAAGGTCTCCAGGCATTATCAGTGTTGCAAAGGACTCGGAAAAAATCCCAGTTGGACAAGATGCATTGGATAGCCAAGAGAAACTTTACATGATGTAGAGGAATGTCGTTCCCTCCATCTGCATGACTAGGAGAAGCCATGTTTTCTTACGGGAAAGGAGAAAGGCCACTGGATCTTTGGCAATGGTGATCCAAAATTTGTGGCTTTGAAAACCTCAGTGGGGCTTAACTGATGGCACAGAAGTTCACCTAGGGCAAAGTCTGGAATTATGTTAGTTGGAGACACCTCGGCTAGACAGAAATGAGGTGATGGGAAAAGGGAAGGGTGGGAACAAGAGAAGAAGGAAGCAATTCATGTGATTGCTGAAAGGATCAATATGATGTAGACAGAAATTTTCTTCCCACCCTTACTCAGACTGTCATGTTTTCCTCACTTCTCTCTGCATTTGACTTCCAGACCTGTAGCACATCTCACAAAAGATCATCCTATTTTGCTTTTCTATTCCTCTAAAATGGGAGGAATTAAGTGCAAATGCATGTTTTAATGTTATGTGATCATTCCAATGCCACTACCAATTTAGGTACAGTAAGTTGGCTTTTGTAATCTTTATGCAATGCTACCGGTGTGTGGATTTCTGGTTGTAATTTATTTAGTGTAATGGAGACAAATCGGGATAAAAAAGCCCAAATAAATTACTAACAGCAAATGCAGAATTCAAGTTTAACATGGCTGTATTAATATAAATTCAGTTATTTCACTACAGCCATTGAATTATATGCCTAAATCTACATATTTCCTGTTTGTTAAGTAACCAATGATTCAAACATGTTTTGATATTGATGTGCTTTTCCTCATCCTCATTAAGCCTTTACAATGACATTTATGCCAATGATATGTAAAAGAGTATTATTCCATCAAAGAAGATATGTCATCACTACTGTTTAGTATTGGAATGTGTGGGAGTTTTCTAGTCCAGAAGATTTCATGTTGACATTTTTATAGGTAGCAAATTAATCAGCAAAAGATAGAATGGCATTTAAAAAAAAAACCAAACATCTGCTAGTGTTGTTATTGCCAGCTTCTAATTCAGGAATGACTAGTGTATGTTTTTCACAGTGGAAGATTTTATTTTTCAGTTACTGGGTGCTCTGAATGAATAGCTGAACATGTACTGCTGACATTCATTCCGAGCAATAGAAATGTCCAAACAGTAGTACTTCTATCACGAGTCAACCTTTCTTCTAATCCCCAAATCCATCCATTGCCTGAGCATTTATTCCACTGATAAGCTTGCTACTGAAAAGGGCAAAGCAAGATCTTCCTGGAATAAGAGGATGCCTATTGGTCACAGGGTGACTTGCATTTTTTCAAGGGTGATGTCTGTGCTGTGAACTAATCCCAAGGCATCACAGGAAAATTAGAGGTTGCTTTTACAAAGTAAAGAGATTATTTGGTCTGCTTGCTCATTTTTCAGTACTGACACATTTGAGAATTAATAGCTTACTTTTAAACTTCCATCTTTTTTTTCCATAGGCGTTCTGAAATAGGGCTCTCTTCCTAAGATCTCTACAATAACATCAGAGATTGACTTTCTTGTAAAAAGGCACACACAGCCTCAAGTTCTGTCTCTAAGCCTTTTTTCCCCATGCCTGTGAGTACCTCCTCATATCTACAGTCAGTCAATAAGTACTGGTATTTTGGGAGGGTTTCAGCTGGCTTCATCTGGGCTCCACTGTCCCTGTTGTGCCTGGTGGGCTTCACTCTGATCTTACTGTGTGATAGTAGCCTTAGCTTCTACCAGGAGCAGAAGTGGGTGCAGTGAGGAGCACCCTGTGCTGTGTGCTGGGAAGGGGGTGCAGCACACACAGCACTGTCCTGTGGGCTGTATATAGGAGGTATGGTGCTAAGCAGGGAGAATCTGAGGTGGAGAGGAAACCCACAATATTGTTCAACACTAGTCGTAGACAATTCATGTTGGATTAATTAGAGAGGAAGAGAATTCTTTATCATAAGATTATAAGGAGCAAAAAATAATAGACCAGCTGAAGATATGGGGAATGCTAGATGGCAGTGCCATTTTGAACACATGCTACAATTATTTCTGCCTTTTTGATTATACACATGCAAATATCAAAGGGGATATAATTTAGAAAATCACACTGGAGTGAGGTGACATTATGACCATGTTACTCTTCAGCTACTGCACAGTGACCCATGTAGTCTTCACACAAATGTTCTGGGACACCACTGCAGCAGCAGCAGATGTAGGGTCCATGGACTTGATGCCCAGCTCTGGAGTAAGTAGCTGGTGAGGCAGCATCACTATGTCATTTATGGAAAAGTTTTTCTCAACAGAGATTTGAGAGATATGTACAGCGTGTTGGGCAATATCACCACATTTAGGCCTGAAGTTAATAGTTGCTGTCACGGCTCAGCAGCCCTGAATGGCAGCAGGTTGAGGAAGCTGATGATGGGCTTTGGTACTAGCTGGTTTAAAAAAGTTAACCCTATTAGAAACAGCCTTTTTTTCCTTACTTAAATATTCAGGCAATGTGTACAGGCAATGAAAATATTGGGAAATGAAGCAAATAAAGAGAGATGCTGAAAATACTTAATTTATTAGTTAATATATTATTTAATTAAACATATTAATCAGTATATTAATTAGTTAATTTTTACATTTATTAGTGAATGCTATTTATTTTTAGTATTTATTCTAGAAAATACTATATACCAGTCATTACACTGCTAAGCTGAGAGGTGGGCAGGCAGCTGACCAGCTTGGCATGGCATGGGCCAACAGGGAGGATGGAGCTGCGCAATCCAGGGAGCCTCTGTGAGGAAAGCAGGATCCCGCACAGCACCACCCCAGAACTGTATCTGTAGGGATTGAGTTTCCCAGCCTTCATCTCCTTGAATCTGTTACTCCCATGCATCGTCTCCTTAAATGCTGCTCCTCCTGTGGGACATGCCAACCCCAGCATGCCATCTGGAGCAAACTCTGTTGCCACCATGGTAAGCCTGCTCCCAGGGATGGAGGAGGAGTTTTCTTATTCCCAGTCCCTCTCAAGGAACTCTGCCATTTAAAAATATTTTAAGCAGAGGATAGCAAGAAGAAAACTGAGGGCAGGAAGACTTTAACATTGCATCCTAAAATTGTGCAGTGACTTGTGTGAGTCAGTGCCAGGGCCAGTGCCCCCACTGGCACTGGCTGAGACTGGCAAGGGGCAGCAGACCTCCACAATGGCCAGGGGCCAGTGCCAGCCGCAGTAAACATGGACTCTCCTCTTGCCCCCAAGCAGGACTGAAATACTACTTTTTCTCAGAGGATGACATGGTTTCAGTAGTCAGTGTCAAGGGCAAAATGGTAATATAGGACTATTTGGAAAAGTTATGTGAGAAGCGTTGCCTGCTTAATGGGCTTAATCTATGGAGAAAGCATCTGTCATTTATTTAAGATTCTGGCCTCTATTTAGTTATGTTTTCAATTAGTTTGCTTCATGAGTACTTATAAATAGATTTTCCCTGAAAAATGTAATGACTTCAAGTGAGTAATAGATAATTCACTGACAAAAAAAATGAAATGGTGCCTTAAAAAAATTAATTGGTAATGAAATTCTTCTATTAAAGTCAGATATGAGACATGATTTATATGTAATGCCATTGATGCCAAGAGAATATTCTTTCCATCTCTCCTGAAAACCTTCAGACTTGTGACTTGGTATCCAAATGCACACTTTACTGTCATTGCAAAAAGGAATCGATAGTAGTTCCAGCTTCCCGTTTTGATTCTTCCAGATAGAAATATTTTTTTTAAAGAAGAATGTATAGAATTATAGAATAGTTTGAGTTGGAAGGGACTTTTGAAAGTCATCTAGTTCCAACCCCCCTGCAGTAAGCAGAGACATCTTCAATCAGATCAGGTTACAAAGCCCCATCCAGCCTGACCTTGAACACTTTCAGGGGTGGGCCATCCACCACATCTCTGGCAACCTATTCCAATGTTTTATCACACTTGTAAAAAAAAATTAGTTTAAAGCCACTACCTCTTGTCCTATCACTGTATGCCCTTGTAAAAAGTCTCTCTCCAACTTTCCTGTAGGTACAGGAAGGCTGCTACAAGGTCTTCCTGGAGCCGTTTCCAGGCTGAACAACCTCAGCTCTCTTAGCCTGTCTTCATAGGAGA